GGAAAAAATTATTTAGGTAAATCATAAAGTTAACTCTCCCTCTCGCTTCTCCATAAAAATAATAAAAATTCAAAATTTAATTAGCTCCCAATAAATACGTAAAAAACAATAAAAGTACCTAAATATATTCTCAAAAAATTCCTTTTAGACATTCCTAAAAAAATAATAATTATTATTATTAGATTTCTGCAAAAATTAAGAGGGTTTTATATATTGCTATTTTTATATTAAAAAATATTAACGGGGAAACTACTCCCTCCCGTTGTGCATATGAATTATTGCGTAAAAAATGCCTTAGGGTAGAAGAAATGTGTGGCGAATAGTTGAAGTTTTTGTTTAGATTTTTACAAGTTTTTATTTCATAAATAAGAAAGGGCATAAAAATTATTATTTTAAACTTTTAAAAATTAAAAAGATTTAATTACTGATTTAATTAATTGTAAGAAATAAAATAGGGGACGGAAATGTTACTTTATTTTATGCCAGAAGGGTAAGAGAAATGGCCTATTAAATGAGGATAAATGAAAATCCTTTGAATATTTTAAAACATTAATCCAATCAAAAGTTCCTGACAACTATTTTTGCTTGAAAAGTAAAGGGAGCCATCCTTTCAGAAAGAAAAAAAACATTTTAAATTATAATAAATCAAATCAGGTAAATCAAGAGGGAAGTAAAAAATAATTTAAAAAAAGGAAGAAATATTTGGAAGTAAAAACAATTTTTTTACTTCCAAATTTCGGAATCATTAATTTCTTTTTAAGAAGCATTTTAAAAATATTTTATTTATTTATTACAATTTTAAATTAATATTTTTTTGATTTTTAATGCATTCCCTAAGGGTACACATTAAACTAGCTAATTTTATTGCTTTTAAAAAATATTTCCTTCGTAAAATGAGCTATGATTATTTGAAACACAAAGTGTAAAAAGGGAAATTCTGTAAAGAGCGTGGTGGATTTTTTATGTAAACGGAAAAATAAAAAATAAATTTTAATGAGAAAAAGTTTGTTAAAAAAATAAAAGAGAATAATTAAATTAAATTGAAATAAAGAATTTTTTAAATAAAAATTTTGGGGCTAATTTGCGTTTAGAACAACACTACATATAAATTAATATATATTTGTCTAATAAATATTCTTTCTAAATCGTCAAAATTGTGATGGAAACTCATGGATATTTTTGAAAAGTCAAAAAAGCCACAATCTCTTTTTTAAATACAAAATACAATTTCAAAACTAAAAAAACTTTGATTTCTAATTTACAATTTGATTTGATATAATTTTTGAGGAAATCCCCAGTTAAAATTGTTACCAGCGTTTAATTTCCCATATGAACAATAATAAAAAATGAGATATATGTGGACAGGAATTATGAAAAAATTTGAGAATCTGTAAGGAAAAAGAAGAGGATAGTATGTAGAAGGGATATAAAAATCAAAGAGAAGGGGCTAAACTGCGGATCAAAACTGGTTTGTTTATAAAAATGTTTTTGTTGTTATTATAGTGCTTTGATATTAAAAAAATATTTGGTTAGGGGGGGAGGGGGGGGGTATTTAAATTATATAAGAGGAAGAAATATAAGAATTGTAATGAAAGAATTGGAAATGTGATATTTAAAAAATAAATTTTGGGGAAATTCTCCCAAAAAATGATTAATATTTAGTTAAAATAATTAAAAATGTATCCCACATCATTTTTAATTATTTAAATCAGGGCTCTCATCGACAAAATGCCAATCAAAAGTACAAAAATCTTGATTTTAAAGTACATAGGGACAAAATTTTCAAATTTAAAGTACACTCAAAATTAAATTCGAAAATATTTATTCGTGCTCAAATCTTTTATATTTCTCTCCTAAATGAATCTTTTCTAATAATTTCTTGCTTCCACTGAGCATTTTGTGCATTTCAATGCATGACATGTCAAAATTCGCTGACACAAGAAGTAAAGCCTGACAGTCTTAACCTCAAGCAAGCTACTTTCTTTCGTCCATTTTCAGCGCCGCAGGCGAAAATTTTGAGAATTTTAGAGCTCAAGAAGCCATATTTCTTCCATTTTTAGCGCCGCAGGCGAAAATTTTTAAAATTTTAGAAGGCCGTAGGCAAAAAAATTCACTTTTTCAGCAGCGCAGGCGAAAATTTTTTGAAATTTGGAGCCCAAGAAGCCAGATTTCTTCCTTTTTCAGCGCCGCAGGCGAAAATTTTGAGAATTTCGAAGGCCATAGGCCAAATAAATTACTTTTTTGCCCAATCCCTTCCCCAATTTCATTTTCAATCTAAAATGTTGATTTTAAAGTACATACTTTCAATAAAGTACAAATTCAATTTTGTAAGTACGGAGGTCGATTTTAAAGTACTGTACTTTCAAATAAAGTACGAATGAGAGCCCTGATTTAAATAAATTAAAAGTTGGGGGGGGGGGGGGGTTTGTTTTGCTTCTTGCACTTTTAATAAACTTTAAAATGCCCATGTTTTTCCCTAAATATTATCGAAATCGAGACTTTTAGAGTTAAAAGTCGGGACAAGTAAAGTGATGTAAAAAAGTAACCACGTGATGTAAAAAATTTGGAAATTTAAAATTAAATAAATAAAATGATGTAAATAATTAATTTAAATATAAATTTTGGGTTAGAAGGAGGGAAATTAATTAAAAATTAATCTCAATTAGAAGTACACATAAATTAATTAAAATACTTATACATATTTAGCCTTCCAAAGTAAATGTTTAAATTTTGAGGTAACTTTATATTAAAATTCAAATTATTACCAGTCATGGTTAATCATTAAATATTATAACGTAAAATTTGTATTAACTACCCTGGTTAATTATTGTTTCAACATTCCGCTAGAGGGAGTAATTAATCGAGGGAGGGTTATTATACGAGGTTTGAAATTTGAACGTCCTTTAGGCCATTTGATGGGGGGGGGTGTAATTATTGTTTTAATCTGTAGGGGGTAATTATTTGAGGGAGGGTAAGGGAGGTCTGTAGGGGGTAATTGAGAGAGGGTCACTGTAGGGGGTAATTATTTGAGGGAGGGTAATTAATACAGGTTTTACGGTATGTTTACTTTATTTTAGAAATGTGATGTTCGAGCTTATAGGGCAAGAACAAACAAATATATTTTACAAAAAATATACTAACACTAAGATAACAAAAAATTTCAGAAACAACTGGTTTATAGAAAGTACTTTTTTTAAATAATGATCGTCGCTACGCTATACTGTCAGCGCCTTTTATTTTATGGCGTGGTATTATGTGCAATTTACATTAATCAAAAAAAATTATTTTTTTTTCTCATCTAAATATGTATATCAACTTACACAAACAGCAAGTAACGGCCATTATGAACAAAAAGAAATTTTTTTTTTATTAAAAAGCAGGTTGATAATATTAAAGTGCTAGGTGTTACGGGGAAGCTTTTTATGACGTTAAAGTATTCCCCAACAAAATTTGAAAGGACAAACAAATCTCCTTCAATTTTTTTAAAAAGAATTATCAAAAAATAGTAGACTACAATAATTATTTAATAATTTAAATTTGTAAATTAATCAAAATATAAATTTAAAGGTCTCAACTTCAAAGGCCTCTCTTTTAAAAAAAATTAAATGCTTTTTATTTGCTCGTGTAAGGGTTCCCCCTTGCCTTTTTAGTGCAAAATAAAATGATTAATTGAATAAATAACCATACAACAATGGGTATAAGCATTAAAAGGATGACGAGCGCAAATTCCAACCTTTCATTGACGCATAAGTTTTCAGCATTGACAAAAGAATTTAAACGGGAGAGTGGAATAATATGTAACGATATATAAAATTGAAGAGAAGAAACAAGTTAATTTTCAGCTTTAAATTTAAAAAACATTAGAGATTTCAAAGAAACAAAAGGAACGCTTATTCCAAGCTGATTTTTAGACAAATAATTTATTTCCGAGGTTGATACTTTGAATTTGAAATTAAATGTTATTTTCGAATTTTTCATGAATTATTTCCTAGTTTTACTATAACCATTACAAAATCAAAAAACTTGCATTACTTCTTAAAATAAACTAGTTCATCCATCTCCTTCCCAAAACTTTTTAACAGAAAAATCGAATCACCTATTTTTGTAATTAAAAAATGCCTACTTAATTTTAGTTTTTATTTTAATCAAAAAATTTTTCATATAAATTTCATAATTCAAAACTCGATCGATAGAAGTTTATCCAATGAAAAATATGTTAAGATTGTTTTCTTAGGTTAAAAAATAAAAATACAATGCGTTTCATTTACTAATGAAAAAAATATTTTTTTAAATGTAAAGAAAGTTGGGTTTGAAATTAAATAAATGTTAAATCTATAGCATCAAACATTAAAGAGAAAAAAATATTTTTTGCAAAGATGTCTCCCAAAATAAATTAAAATATTTCAAATCCAACTTTTACTTTAAACATTACAAGTCAAACTGACCCACAAAAAATAAAACAAACTTCTCTTATCTCATTCCAAACTTTCTTTAGTTCTTTTTCAGTCACGACGGCGCTTGTCCTTTTCGCTTTTGTCTTTCAACAAGATCATAACATAGCGGAAGATATTGACAAAATCGACAAAGAGCATTACCTAAATTTGGTTGTCATGGAAATATTAGATTAAAAGTATGCCTAAAAACTAAAGGTGGAAATTAACCAAAGAACAAAAAATTCGTGAGCAATATAGAAAATAAATTTCTCTATTACTAAAGCTCATTTAATTACATTGCCTATATAACAAGGGCATTAGAGAAAAAATTTTGGGAAAGAAACGAGAAAATAAAAAGAAAATAAAAATACAAACAGTGTGCCAGATATAGTCCTTATCACCGCGACGGCATTTCTCAGCAATCAATTGGGTGTCATACACAACAAATCCACAATTGATGGCAAGGCCAGCCCAAATGACAGCCGAGCGCACATATGGCGAATATGGCGCAATCAAGGAGGTAATCAACAAACAGAGAAGTGCCGACAAAAGCATTCCTAGAAAATATTAAATTTTGAAAATGAAAAAAAACAAACCTCCCAAATAAAGATATTTGGTCGAATCTGCATGAAGAGCCATCATTGTAAAGCATCCAAACACAATCTAAAAAACAAAAATTGGGATTGAATTAGGCAGATAACGGAACCATTGTGATCAGATAAGCATTAAAAACGATTGACGGGTCATCAGCGCCAACATATTCGATAAGAGGTCCAGTCTGGATACCAACAAGGAAGCTTAATCCAAACATATAAGCGAGACGCTTATTCTCGTTAAAGGAATTAGCCTCAGTCGATACGATTGCTAAAAATATGAAAAATTAATTTTTAGAAAAGAAAAAATAAAAATACAAACCAATCATCAACCCAAAAATTCCCAATGTAAATACAAATTGCATTGCTTCAAATTGCATTACATTGTTGAAAAGAACTCCCAAAACGGCACAGCCCAATGCAAGAGCAAGAGTCCCATAAACATTCTTGAGGTGGTCACGGACGTCTTTCTCGCTAAAAATTAAAATAAAAATATAATTAAAAAATAATGACAAACAGTTTGTTGGGAAGTAATGTAAAGATACGATGAATATTCCCAAAAACGTCGCCGGTAGAATCTTGATAAGTAGTCGTCATTGTTTTGTTTTAATAAAAAGTTTTGATTTTATCTTAAAAATATAAAATAAATTTTAAGAAAGTGAAAGGAAAATTTCAGATATTTTTGTAAAAAGATAAATTTGAAGTAGAGTCCGGGGACGGAGGAGTGGGCGATACTTTTTCGACAAAAAACGAGGTAAAATCGTATTGATCAGAACTTAAAGCATTAAGCGAAGTGAGAAATATTTAGAAAAAAATAACAAAAAAATAAAATCCTTCAAAAAAACATTCGAATGATCTCATATTTTTACGTTTGGTAAACGTAGCGTTAAATATTCTTTGCTTCTTTCATTTCCAGATTTCCTCTATTTTCCATGGCAACAATCGATTTAAAATCAATTTTTAAAGGAAATCGTTTTAAAAAATTTTTTTTATTTAATTTTTCGGAACGGAACAATTGAGTATTGCTGGTTGAGTCCCGGAACTATATGCGAACTTTTGTTCTAATTTCATTCAAAAACCTTTGATTTATTAATTTGTTAACTCAATTTTTAATTTAAAAAGTTAATTTTTTAGATTAAAAACAGGCATGAATAATCAATTTGATGAGTCTGTTCAATTGGAAATTGAGTCAATTCTCGCAATTTTTCCCAAAGAAGTTTTTATTGAATCAAATTCTCGAATTATCGTAGAATATGAAAACAACGCTCATTTACTTATTCGTTTGCCTTTAGATTATCCAAAGTATGTTAAATTTTTATTTAATTTTTTTATGAGTTAACATGTATTATTTTTAATTTTACTTGAAATTCTATAGTTTTGTAATTGTCGGTTTTTTAGGTAATATTGAACCGTACAGACACCCTTTTTTCCTCCCCAATTTACCCCCTATATTTTTGCAAAATGAGTCTTCTCAAAACTCATACTTGTTAAATACAAGAAAATAATCCTCCTCTTGTTTTTGGCATGTACTTGCACTTGTATAAAATTAAATAATCCTTTTTGTTTGATTGTAGGCAAAAATTAGAAAGACAATTTGGATGGAAAAAGTCTGACCATTTTGCAAAAATTGGGTATGAAAAAAAGGGGTCTGTCTGCTTCAATATTACCTACGTTAAAAATTTTGGAAAAGGTATTTTACATGAATTAATTCATAAATTTAATCTTTATTAATTAATTATTTAAAAACCCCAGAAATCCTCCTCTATTCGAACTTTCATCTCCAGCCTTAAGCAGCGAAAATAGAAAAGAATTGCTAACAATTTTGAATAAATTTTGTTCAGAAAATAATGGGGAACAAATTCTTTATTCTTTAATTCAATGTTTTATGGAATATTTTTGCGATCTTGGAGAAAAAGAAAAGGAAAAACAAAAAATGACAGAAAAAGAGGAGGGGATTAATTTAACAATAAATATTCCTTTACCTTCTAATTTTTATTCTGGCAAAGCAATAGAAGATAGAAAAAGTGTTTTTCAAGGACATGTAACTAAATTGGATTCAAAAGACAAGGTTTTTTAAAATTAAAAATAAATTTTATTTGAAATTTTTAAGGTCCCAAAATTGCTTGAAAGTTTAAAAACCGTTGGAAAAATTGCTCGTGCTAGACACAATCCATATGCTTGGCGTATTGTTAATGATGCTAAACGAGCTATTGAACAGCACGATTGTGGTAATTTATTTATTTTTATTTTAATATTTTATGAATTGGGAATTTTTTGGTTTTAAGGATGTTTTAGAAACCCGTTAAACCCGCTTTTCCGTGTTCGTCCTCATGTTCAGGCCCGTAGCCAGGGGGGTAGGTAGTAAACGTGAAAAGTTGAATTGAATGAGATATCTTTTGCATATCTTTTACCTAACGATTGTTTTGGCCTTCCCTCGGGTTTTTATTTTTCAGAAGGCAATTAAAACCCTTAATTAACTTTTTCTATATTTCATACTTTTTAATTAAATCATTTTTATGTTAAAACTTTTTAATTTAAAATGTTTTTTAGACGATGATGGAGAGACTGGCTCAGCTTCTAAATTACTTCGACTTCTTATGCAAATGGACGCTAAAGACGTTCTTTTGGTTGTTAGGTAAAAATATTTTTTTTTCAAAATTTTTATTTGATTTAAATTTTTTAGTCGTTGGAAAGGCGGCAATAAAATTGGACCAGATCGTTTCAGGCATATTTGTAATGCCGGACGTGATGCATTAATTTCTGGTGGTTTTGTTGTAGTAGAAGGAGAAGGCGAAAAAAATATATAGCAATTAAAATATTTTTTTGAAAAGTAATTTTTGGGGGATTTTTTTGGATTTTTGAGTTTAAAAGCTAAAAATTTTTCCTTTTTTCGCCTTCCTATCTTTGTCCGGTAATTCTTCGGTTGTCGCCCCCCTTTTTTTATGTTCTATTTTTTTTTTACATTTTCCATGAAATTTCTATGAACTTTTATGTACATTCGAAAGAGCACTTCAAGCTGTGTCGAACGGTACTAGAATCGTCGAAATCTGAATTAAATCAACAAAGTTATGAGCAATTGTTTTAATCCCTTTCAACATCACAAAAAACATGCCCACAAAGGATTTAGCTTCATAATTTTGTTCAAAATTGCCAAATCTAACCGATCATAGTACCAATCAACTCAGCTCGGGTAGCTCTTTCGAATGATATATAAATTATTATATGTCAAAGCAAAAAAGCTCAAAAAGGTCAGGGAAGCATAAAAAAGGAGGGGGGCGACAACCGAAGAATTACCCTTTGTCCTTATATAATTGGTATATTTAATAATTGACGAGTATTGAATACTAAATTATTAACTATCTTTTAAATTAATTTTTTGTACATAATTATTTTGGGTTTTAAAGTCAATATTGACCTATAAAAATTATATAAATTTTCTCGAATTTTATTTATTAAAACAACTTGTGTTTTTTGCACATTTATCAACATTTTAGTTGGAATATTTTGAAAATTACTGTATAGAAAAACAATTATTAATGTCTCTTCGATTAAAAATTTATTTTAAATTTTCATATTTTTTAAACCTTCCTTGAATTTTTAAATAGTATCCGTTTTATCCTCTGTATTGCTGTTTTACGCCAAGAATAAATTAACTGAAAAAATTTGAATAACTTTATGTTAAAAAATTTAAATTTTGATAAAAATTTACCAAAGAAATTAACAAAACAGTAAAACTAATTCCGACAATAATAATAAATGGAAAGCGATATTTGATTAAATCATAATAGCCAGTATTAGATTTGATTGTAACAGTATACCTTAAAATATTTAGAATAAATGAAATCCTCAATACCCGTGTTCTGCGCTGTAATGGCCAAGTAAACTTTGCATACATTCATATTTAACCATAACAACAGGAATTTGGATAAGTTCAGCAAATTTGCTACCCGACATTGGATTGGGACTTTTACCCTTAAAGTTGTATACAATCAATGCTTGATAGCCAAAAGGTTTTGCTTGTTGAACATAATAAGCCTAATTAAAAAGATTTAAATGAGAGAAGAATATTAAACTAAAAAATTTATAGGCTATTTTGATTCCTAAAAATATTTTGATTCCCGTCCAGTCACTCCTTAACATGGAAAGGTTATTTCAAAATTATTTCTCGAATTTGGCGCGCCGAAATTTGCGGATTTTAATTTGCGGACCCGAAATTTGCGGATCAGAACTATGCGGACCCGAATTTTGCGGATCTGTGATTTGCGGACCAAAATTTTGCGGACCGACAATAGAGTCTACTGAACCTCGGAAATTTCAAAAATTTTAGCCTGCGGCGTTAATTAGGATAAATTCAGGCATCATGACTTTATGGGATGGCCATATAAATGATTTCTTCAAGGAATTTTCTCGATTATTTAAATTATGAAATAATTTTGTGATAAAAATTGATAAAAATTTTGAAAAATCAAGAAAAAATCTTGATCTGGTACGGATCATGGTAAACTCTGCCGGGATCATCGAAAAATAAAATTTTTAATTTTTTCCTTTTACTCAAGTGTCTGCCCTAAAATCTTGGTTCCGCAAAAATCAGGTCCGCAAACTTCGTGTCCGCAACCTTCGGGTCCGCAACTTTCGTTCCGCAAATTTCGGGTCCGCAAAGTTCGGGTCCGCAAAATTCGGGTCCGCAAAGTTCGCGCCACGTCGAATTTTCAACAATCGAAAAAGTTTTAAGATATTAAGTAACCTTTTCAGAAAAACTACAATTCCCTCGTGACACAACGGCAAAATCCACAACACATTGACTTGTTGAATTCAAACGAGGCTTCTTTTAATAAAAATAATTTTAAAAATAGAGATGGGTTACCTCAACATCAGAACAAGCTAATGGAGGTTCTGTTGGTAAAGCACAACCAACAGAATTCATTCCAAACAAGAAAGTAGAAATGTCAGAGCCAAAATTGGCCGCAGTTGCATCACAGTGGGCAACCGCTCGATACCCACCCAGTACCGTGTATTCCAACTTAAAAATAATTTTCACATCCATTTTTTAAAACATACAATTTCAACCATATACTGGCCAAATACACACATTCTCGAATTGTACAAGACAAGAATTAAATAGAAATATACCGATAAAATATGTCGAAGACTTTTTTCAAGGACAATAAACATTCCCGCTAGCTATGAAAAGAATCCAATTTTAGGTATTAAAAACCAATCTACCTATCCGCCTTTGCTATATCAACCAATTATGATTCGGTTTGGTGATCAACAAAATTTGAAATTGTTTGTTTTCATAGTTAATGAAAAAAGAACAAAATAACGACATAAATTTAATATTTACTATGTCAAAATAATTTATTGACAATTTTATAATTTATTAAAGAAAATTAACCAAAGAAATTTAACAATAATTAAAGACAGACATTCTCATCAATTTTAATTACTGCCAGACAGTGTAGAACTCGTAAATATCCGCCGGAATTTTGTTTTTGCGTACTTAGAAAGTAATTACACTTTTATTATTTTAATTTAAAATTAAAAAAAAATGTTTGAAAGGTTGTCTGCCCCCTTTATTTAATTTTAATTGTTAAACTTTCCAAACAAACAAAGTTGTTTGTTTGACATTTGTTTGTATTTTCAAAAACGTCACAATTTTTGTTTTTTTTATGGCCATTATTATATTGTAAATGGACACAAACTTTATATTTAAATTTATAACGGTAGTTATCTTTTATTTGTTTATTGTTAAATATTTTATTCCCAAAAGTTTGTGAATAACTATTTAATGAATAGAAAGATCCAGCCGGCTAGCATTTAAAACGCTCACTAGGCGGGGGTTTAAGATCTAATAAAAGAAAAGAGGTCGCAGTATCGAAGCCTGCCCGGGATTAAACTTTTATTTCGTTCTTACTCTATACTTTCTGTAATTTCTTACAAATATATTAAATCTTTATCAACATTATTCACCCAACATTTTCCCCTATTTTTCGTTTTTTAAAGTTTATTAGGTAATTAGGTATTACTTCTTAATTGTTACTTTTTATTTGCTTATCTTTTATTTCCTCTTTAAAACCGGAAATAATATTTAAAACCCACAATTAAAATTGAATTCTTTAAATTCTTTATTTGTATTTATTTTTTTCTAAATTAAATTAATTTTTAATTTAAAAACAAAAAATTCACCCTTTTTTATTCTTGATCAATAAATATTTTTTTCATTTGTTTTTAAAACTTGAATAAAAATAAACTAAATTTTTTTCGAACATTTTTAATTTTTGCATTTTTTCTTCTTAATAATTTTTGAAATTTTTAATTTAAAAAATTAAATTAAGGACAATATTAAACATGTAATTAATTAATTTTGGAATTAAATTCTAGGTGGCTGTTGCTATCTCCAAACTACACAAAAAATTATCGTTAATCTGATTAGTAAATTCTGACGCACATTAGTATTTATTAGGGAAACTTTATTTATTTATTAGGTCCAAATAAGTAACTTCTAAGAAAAAAACTCTTAATATACAGGTCAAGAATTGTTATTGACTTTGAATTATATTTTAAATTAATTATAAAATTAATTTTTGTTAGAAATGACAATTGTGGAGAATTTAAACGTTGTTAATTTAAATTCTGAATTAAGTATGTCTATTTTCAAATGATGATTTTTTTGTTATATTTTATCCTTTTTGAATACTTTAAAATCATAAAAAGTTTAAGATTTACTTTGATTTAATATTTAAACATTAAATATAGATTTAAAATATTTTTTATTCAAAAATCACTTCCGCAAATCATCAATTGCAATTAATAATTTTAAGGAAATGTTAGCGACCCTAATGCAGCAACGAAAGAAAAGTATTAATATTAAAAGAGAGAAAAACACCCAATTACTAGCTATTAATAATGATAGGAAAATTTCAGCCCCAGCTGTAATATTAACAACAACAAAAAATAAAATTTCCTCCAGCAGACTAGCCGAGGTCAACTCAGCTTTCGTCGCTTTGACAGCCGCGGCTGCCACTTCAGAATCTGATATAGTAGTAGATGAGACCACAACAACAACAATGCCAGCCATTACACGAAATCGTTGTTTTAGTGACACAAAAACTGCACACGTCAAAAGAGGAAAAGGCGTTTTTCTTCACTGGCAGCAATGGAGTAAAAGACAAAATCAGCAACAGGTTAATGACCAATATCAGCAAAAACACTGTACATTGGAAGAAGAAGAAACCAATCAAATCGATGATGCTTGTGTTAACAGCAATCAGAGTAAAAATATTAAAAGAAGTACTAGCAGTTTTGCTGCTTTGCGCGAAGAAGAAAAGGATGAAAATAATGATGAAGATTTTGTTGTTAATAAAGTGAGTCATTAAATAAATAAATTTATTTTTTCTGCTAAAATAATTTACAAACAATTTCGCGAATATTTATTAATTATGACGACCTCATTTACTATTTATTGAGAATTTTCGTAGCAGGAATTTTTTAATTAAAAAATTTTTAATTATAGAGAAATGGTCTCAAATTTAGAAATATTTAATGAATTGTTATTTTTTAATCAGAATAATTAAATTAATTAATTCCTAAATTAGGAAAGCTCATAAATCTTAAATAATATTTTTAAATATTTTTAGTTGTTGCGGAAATTTTATACAAAATATTTTTAAAGTTAAAGTCCAAGGTTCTTTAACACAAATACATATAATTTAGTAATCTGTTAATGTTAATTTCGTTGAGAATTATTTAGAAAGGAAAAACAATTAAGTTAAACCTAAAATTCTTTCCACTTTAATATTAATTTGAA